GGGTTTAGGGTTTAGGGTATGCTAATGACATTATGAGGTCCATCTGATTCAACAGGCTGCCAGGTCCTGTTGGGGCTTGGGGTCAGCCTGATGAGATTGAGGAATCAAACCAACATTCTCTGGTCAAAGGTGTATGAAAGCGGTGAGGCCTTCGAAGCTCTCGACGAAGTTTGGTTCAGAATTCCCAAAACTGTAATGGTGCAGCGTTTCTTGGGGACAGGCGATGGCAGTAGCTTCCTGTTTTCGCTGCCAGGTGCAAACCAATGCTGGCGGCTGGGCCGTTCCTTTCACCGGCAGCGCTTCAGGATTTTCTCGGCGACAGTATCCTAAAGAGCCACAACAGCAGAGGCTCCATTTGGCTGCTCGCTGTACGCATGATCTTGATTCCCTTGTAAGCTTTCAGCAGGATTGGTTTTGACCGTCCTAATTATTGTACATATTGTTGTTTCAAACGGACCTTTGGGACCTTTGGCCTTCCCTGCTAGCCTGAAGTCCATGTACAGAATTTCAGAACCCCAGCTGGTGGTCCAGCTGAGTCGGTGGGAGGGCCCCGCCCCTTCTGTCATGACTAGAGCTTTGCCCCTGCCTGGATATTGGACGTATCATGCTCAGCGCAATGCTGCCGAAAAGAGTGATCATCGCATGAGTCCCTTGCTGCATCGTGGTGCTTGGAGGAAACTTGATCTACAGTTCTTTCGGGCCACAAGTACAGAATCCTCTAGCGGCTTCTGTCACGATGCTTCTGAATTTCAAGTTGTTGTTATGCCCAGCTAGCTTGATGTCACCTTTTGCACGGGCTTGAGGGGTGAAGGCCCACCGTCAAAAAGTCTTGAGAAGAGGAGAGGCCTTTTGGCAATTTTAAAGCCATGACCCCCCAAGTAACTATCTTCCGCCGAGGCCGCTGCCTGACGCAGGAGGAAGTGCCTCAGGCTCCAAGCGCGGCTCATGAGGCAGGCAATAGGAGGGAGCTTCCTTTCCTTTGGCCCCTTCCGAGGGTTGAGAGTGGCAATTTATGGATACCATGCAAGGGTGTTGTCGTTGTATATGTTTTGGGCTTTCCGGGGGGTTGTCCCACATAGTAGCTAGTGAGGCCAGGTGCTGATGTGTCACATGATCAACTTTTTTAGTTATACGTCAGTTTCCCGGCTGGTCTACTGGTAACTCCCCCAATCCTGCCAGTGGCAGGATTGCTATAAGGTACAAGACTCAGTATGAGGAGCCATTTACCGTATTGGCCTGTGCGGACTTCGGATCCCCTTTTTATAGTCCATACTCCTTAAGGGGGTCATATACGGGAAAACATAGGGGAGTATTGTAGGGGTTA